ACCATGACTTACAAGCATTCTCAGCATTCCCTGCAGCTGAACTAAGTGCAACCAAGTCCCACTGTGAAATGCTTGTAGAATGAGAGGCTTACAAGGTCAAACAGAAAGCTATTCAAATTAAAATGGGGTACAGCAGGCACCTGATATGGGTAGGTATGTCAGTGAACAAAACTAGTTTTCATTTTTGTAACAAAAAAATAATTCTTGACATTATAAAGCAGGATTCAATAAAAGAGACAGAGACTAATCCCGGGAAACAGGAGTGGGAGGTGAAAACAGGACTTTTAGCTGAAATACAATCAGAGTAGCAAGCATTCGGCTTTCTCCTCGAAATTCAGACAATAACTCAGCCTCAAATCTCTGAAGGTCCATTATATTATCTAAAAAAGTACTCCCCAACACAGAGCATTACACTTGCTTTCAGAAGAGCACTGTTTAATTTCCAGCCTATTCAATAACAAACATGTCAAGGTTAGGATCTGCATTCCTGCAAGACATCATTGAAAATCCACCTTTGTTCGTTTTTAAGAGATGCCTTTTTTCACCATTTACTCCATGTCTGTTCTTTGTACAGAAAAAATAAGTAGCATGTTTCAGTTTGATCCGGGGCTCACCCACCCCAGCTTTGCTTTCAGAAGCTGCCCTCCAGGTTCTGAGCACAGGTGATCTCAAAGGGGAGCCAGGCAGAGCAAGGGATTCACCAAGGGAGTTGATGAATCTGACAAGTACCCTGACCAGCTGAATGCCACCTCTAATGGAACTGTGTCACCAAATGGGCAGATATGATAATGGCAAGAGGCATAACTCATTTAAATCAACATTTTAAAAGATCAGAGAATGAACTGAAGAATACTCATCCACCCATCAGCATCCCCAGTGCCACAAAACATATTTTTACTTGATAAAGTTAACAGTAACATTCTCTTGACTTTTCAAGCTCAGGATTGTAGAAAGTGCTGGAGGCCCGAGAAACACAAAACTTATTAAAATTGCAATTTTAGTTGTGAAGAAAGGTTCATTAATATGAATTAGACTGTGGGTCAGCAATGGTGGCAACCTTGCTAACACAACGAGGTGGTCTCAGCTCAGGAGCCTTAAATGTGGGAGCAAACAACAGTAGCAAAACACTGGCTCTGGAGTGTAAGCATTTATCATCAAGAGAAACCGATCCCGCTCCTGACTTTCTGGGCTTTACTTCTTATAGGTAGCAGCATTTGCACAAAAATACTGGGGAAAAAATTCTTTGGGTAATGTGTAAACTACAGAGTTGAAACATTTCAGACAAGAAAAGTCCTATCAAGGAAACACCAATTCCTCATGCTTACAGAATACGTAAATATTTTACACTTAGAAAAACATTTAAATACTCATAATTGCAATGGGTACTTACCCTGAGAGCTCAGTTGATTCAGGAACAAACACATCAGCAGACATGCCTGTTCAAATGTAACTTAAAAAATAAGTGAGAACAGTAGCTATAATGGAAACAACATTATTTTACAACAGGTGTCATGGAAACACTCATCAGCCCCAAAAAAGCCACATCAAAAGAACAATTTCAGCACCTTAAATCAGGATCTATAAGCAGTCACAAGTTCCACATTATCTACAAATTATGATTATGTGTCCCAGATTACACAGCCATCTTGCACACAAGCATGACTGTTCTGGAGCTCATGATTTTTTTAAAGCCAAACTTCTGTCTCGGCAGCAGAATTTAATCTCTCTTATTTATGGTTCTCCCAATTCCCCAAACAATTAGGTGGCAGCAGAAAGAGGGAGGCACCAATAGAGGCTGATGTCTCTTCCCACGCCACGGGCACTCCTTCTTTCTGGCACTCTGGAGTCAGGGTGGCATCACAAGGTCGAGATGATTTGCAGCACCAGAGGATTGCAGAAGCCTTGGGCAATTGTCAGAAGCCTTGGCTTCCTAGTAGAGCTCACTGAATTATTTCCAAATTTATTACTATGTCAAACAGCTGCCAAATAATCTCAATGCCCACAGCCCAGGAAGGCAGAGAGGAGTGAATTAAGTTCAGAGGAGATGCAAAGGTTCTGTGTATACAAGATGTCACCATCACATCAACACAGGCTGATTTACTTTTTAGTGACCCAAGTGCATCCTTTCAGTGCCTGATCATTCTGGAGGCCATGAGAAAGATGACACTTCTCCAATAACAGGTCAATTATAAACTTATATAGTAGGAGACAGAATATTGATGTTATAGATCAAAATTCTCCCTAATACTTAGTGAGAAGAAAAGAAAGGGTATTTCTGAAGCTTTAGTTAGCAACTGTTAAATGGGTGCAAAAGGCAAAGCCTGAGTTAGAGACAGAAGGGTTGTGTAACAGAGCAGTTACAGCACATCTGGAACACAAACTCCAGTTTTTGGTTCACACTTCCTCTTACCTCTGCCTCTGCCTACTCATCTCTAAAGCAGAACTGCAATTTCATACAATCTTAGCTGATACATTTGGAGGATTTTGATGTTTGAGAGACATGCCATGGTACCAACATGGGCTGTGGCTGTGCTTGTGACTAAGGAATAGTTTGCCAAGTCAGGGAGTGGACAGGACACACCAGTGTGTGTGCAGTGCAAGCCAAAGTGACTTACTGTGCCCACCCAGCTCATTTTCCTGCTGATGGAAAAGCACAGGGATGGTCCCACCTAGAGCCTTTGGAGAAGCCAGGGACTCAGTGATGGCCTCCAGGATTTTGGAGTCAGGGATATAGGGAGCCCAAGGCCCACAAAGACCTCACTGAAACAGAGATATTAGCAGCATATGAAGGGGTTGGAGCTGCTTCAGAAGCAGTCAGTGGAGAAGCACAGCTCCTCTTGGCAACACAGGGTTGAATTATTTGTTCCCAACACTGATCTGTTTTTTTCCCTTACCTGCTCCCATAGCACACTCCCTTCATTACATCAAACTCACTATTATTTTTAAATAATGATCTGCCAAAATTTTAAAAAGCATTTTATTTTCATAAGATATTTTCAACTGATTATGAACAACAAAACAAAAAAATCATGTCTTGAGTAACAGTATAAGTAATTTGGGTAGTTGATCTATATCTTCAGAAATGACAAACAGAAAGGTTGCTAAAAGCCATGTGTAACTCCAGAAATGTCTGTACTAGCATTAAAAAAAAAGCAGAATTAAAAACTTGTAATTGCCAATCCTTAAAATTGTGTATTTCTTAAAAAACTACTCTGAATGGTCATAGTTTTTATCATATTAAATCACTATATTAATGAAATATCCGTTTATATATATTTATATGCAGCTCAATGACTAACATGCATATTAAAAAAAGAAAGTGCTATTTAGTTTGGATAGGGTGGTTTAGAAAATACTTTTTTTTAGATTAGCAGTCTTCCAGAGAACAGAAGAGAGCAGATTTTAATATATGAAAGAAATTAACTACAATTGTTACAGAATTACGCTGACCCTTACACCACCACTACTGCATTTCCTCTTGCAGCCTTCCTTCTGCACTAACCTCTTCTACTCTGAGACAGGCCTAATGAAAAAAGCACAAATATACTCAAGTTCATTAAACCAACCAAATTTCATCCCAGCTAATTTTCTTCCAAACTTCTCCTATTTACCAAATCCAGCAATGCTGTGTACCGTGCTGCAGTAATAAAAATGTCTTTTTTTGCACTTTGCTGCTGGCACATATTTTGTGTCATCCCTTTGATATAACATATTCTCCCTGCCCACAATATATTAAAAGTCTCTCCTACTGTTGCCATGATGTTTTGCTCTTAAATGAGGTGTATGAAACAAAGGACATCAGTGACTATTACCTGATAATTTTGCTTTCTCACTTATGAAAGGAGTTTTCCAATATAGCTGCAATCTCTCTCTGCTCTCAGCAAGCCCAGCTCCACAAGTTAAGGGAGCCAAACCCATCTGTCATTCATTTGCACTGAGGATTATCCACAGCTGCCTGGAAACATTTCCTTCTCCTCCTCCCTCATTCCATTCTTTCTTGCTAGTGTTTGCCTCTTCCCTTTCCCTACTACTCATTTGGAGAAATTAATTCATTTTTAGCTCCACATAATTTCAAAAACTTCTTCATGTGTCGCACTCTGCCCGCAGCACAGTTTGTTCCTCTCTGGGAGCAGCAGGGAGCTGCACAGCTACTTACACACAGGCTTGGCTGTCTTCTCCTAAGCAAAGGCAAAACTACCCAAAACTTCACATGCTCCATGTGCCCAGCCCTGCTGCCCACACCCACCATGGACACCAGCCCTGCTGTTTTCATTTCTTACTCTGCTCTCTGACTTTTCCTTCTAGAAGATATTCCCGTTCAGGACACCTCTTTATGCATCTCCCCTGCCTCTTGTGAAGTGGTTTTTCCTCAGTTCCCTTCCCTGACTGATTCAGGTCACTACAGAGCTGCTGCCAGTGTGGAAAAGCCCCACTCACATGGCAGAGCCAGAATCTGAGTGGAGGGTTTGGAGCTTGACAGGACAGCAGAGGGGGGAGACACCCACACAGTCCTGGGGCTGAGACAGCCTTGCCTGAGCTCAGGGACTGCACATCCTGAACAGCCAGAACACACTCACCTGCTGGGAACACACCTTGAAAGGGCATTATCTGCCTGTAAAGCTAGAAGGAAAAAGAAAAAAAAAAATCAGCTCATGTTTTTTCCTCAATTTCTTTCAATTGGCTGAGTGAACTCTAAATGCATCTGGACATGAGCACATCTCTATCAGGCAAAATAATTTGAGGGAGATTTTCAAAAATTTATGAAAAAAAGATAGGGATGTTTTGCAGGCACTAAGGATGGCTTTGGACACTTCTGCCTTCAGAAAGTAGAACTTTTGAACAGAGTAGGATAAAAAGGGTCACGTCCAGCAAATGAAAGTGTCTGTAATGGTACAATCTGTCTGACCCAGAAGATTGCAGAAATCCCGTGCACAAAAGAGAACAGTTCTGGTTCAAATGACAACATGTCAAAAAGGGTCCTGCCCCCTTAACAGTACTACCTTTTTCCTTCTAAGAGGTCTTGAAAAAGAGAAGCCTGTTCCCCTCTTGATTCTTTGGGCCAGGTTCACAACACCACCACACTTCTTTTACCGTGATCAGGTAGGATTAAGGACCTCATCTGAAAGCAGCCTTAATAAAGACCTCTTCTCTGTGCAATTTACCCATCTGTGTTCCCAGATCTAAGTAACATTATTTAATACCTCATTCCCACATAACATCTGTGAAAAGAGATTAAAATAAACATCATACACTTGGAAAGTCTTCTTTCTGTGGCAGCACTGATGGTAATAGAAACCTCAGAGATAATGGTAACATCATTCTCCTCTGCAAGGCCACTCTGGAAGTTTTTGTGCTACCAAGGAAAGACAAATAAAGGAAATCAGGAGGAATCCAGTTCCTAAGCAACGCTGTGTTTCTGTACCCCACTCAGGCTCTGGCAGAGGTTTAGCTTGCTCCAGGCTCTGAAACAGGACACAAAAGGTCTCTGGGACTGTCTGGGATGCACAGTCCAGCTTCCAATGGCACTTTATTATATCACACTCTTCTTGGGCTGTTATTACTAACCTCTATGATGAAAATAATTTCTTTTCCTTTTTTCAGGCCTTTGTGTTTCTCATCTATCTACCGATAGAGCCATCAGGGCAGTGATCAGACCTTTCTGTGGCTGTGCAATGCCAGGCAACGGGAAGCCCTGAATTCAGATCTCTGATGTGACTGCAATACAAAACGTAACAGCACCGAACAGCCAGGATAAAACCCCAAATTTTCCTCCTGCCAGTTGCTACATTTGGTGTTTGTTTCTCTGAACACTTCACCTGCAACAAACAGAGCATCTCCTGCAAGCAGAATCAGGTTAAATTGCAGCACTGCCACAGACCAAGAGCGCAGCAGGGCCGGGGGATGAGGAGTCTCCCTGTGCACAGGAGAGCCACCCAAAACACCTGGTGATGAACTTCTGGCCTCCTGTCAGCCCCTGTGCATGGCACTGTAGCAGGACCTGTGGAAAAAAGAATATCTGCCATCTGTTCAGGAAGTTATGGAGCAGCTAAACACATCCAGGTAAGTGGGGGGATGGTGAAAATCACCTTTGCACAGTTATCACCAACATATTTCTTACACCAGCCATAAAGCAGTGGCATAGACCACCAAAACATCACTGCTACAGGACAACAAACCAAAAAAAAAAAAACACCTGGTTTTCCCTAGCACACAGACATACACAAAATGCATCCCCTGATTGCATAAAGCTCCATGGACAATTTTGTAGAAGGATTATTTTGTCTTCGTGCAGTTGCCTAGTGATAATATTTGTCCATCTGTTGTAAGGCACATTTCCATATCCAAAGGCACAGTACACATTGCCATGTGCTGGAAGGGATGCAGGATTCTTGCCTTGCAAATCAGTCCATTGATCGTGATGAAAAATGGCAAAATGCCAGTAGTTCATGCACTGCGACATCTCAAGGATTCACAGCTGAATAGCTATTTAAATTATAAACTTACCCTACTTCGAGTCATATTTAGAGCTAAGTATCACCAGACTAACTGTTTCAGCAGTACAATGTTCTTTATAAGCAATAAACAATGTAAATTTTTGCAAGCTGAAGCATAAAGCCATAACTATACAAACAATCACTACATATAAAGTTAGAACTTTCAACCTCAGTACAGTTATTTCACTCAGAGGAATACTTCTATTTATTTGTTTATTTGTTCTGGCCCCACTTCTTCTAATGATGGTCTGCTAGAACCAAAAATGGATGTGGGGTTGATTTGAATGATTTCTTTTGCTCTTAAAATTGGTATTTACATGTAAGCATTAGTGCACAAAGTCTAAGTTGTTCCACGACATGACTTTAACCACATGTAAAGGAGAAAATGCTCTCCAAACAAAATTTCTCCTATATATCTTATGTTTTAACAGCAGAACTACCCATTACTAAATGGAAATTATCACCTTACTACTTATCTAACCATTCACCAATTACAATAATTGAACAGATGTCATTAGTGAGTCTGGGTTCACTCTGGTGAAAGCTCCCTGAATCCCAGACAAATGAAATTTCAATTCTCACCCTGGTGTTCAGGAGTCTCATGTCCTCCTGCCTTTCTAAACTACATCAACAAAACTGTAGCATTCAGTTACAAATGATTAGCACTGGAGAAACACAGGTTTAACCTTTATGGAGATGTTTCAGCATAGGCAAAGCACAGCACTCTCAGAGTTCACCACTAATGACTTTAACCCAGTCTAGATGAGCCAGACTTTCAAGTGGTTAAAGCTAATTTAGATTAGATGCTAATTTAGGTCTGGGCCTCTCCTGCGAGCAGCTTGTGTCATATTGAATATGGTGCTCTTGTGATATGGGATTACAATCAAAAGAATTAAGGAGCAGCTACCTAATTAATTTCAGTTGATGGTATTTAAAGACACACAGCTGTATACAAACCAGCTTCCCAGCAGCAAGGAGTGCAATAACATTTTGTTCACAAAGCTACTGAGTGCCCATAGCGTGGCCACACTCACAGGCACGTGGCTGGTGCCACAGCCCTGCCTTTGCCTATCTGAGCAGCACAGGCAGGTCCCTTGTCCCCTCCCTGGCACAGCACGTCCTGCCCTCTGCCCGGGTCACTGCTGCAAGTGAGGATGTAGGATGGGCAAGAAACAGCTGCAATGAAAGGTTCAAGGGATGAAAAATGCAGTTTTCTAGTATTTTCCTTCCAAGAGCTCTGCAGCCCCTCTGCCCAGCACAGGTCTCTGGCACAGCCTGGGTGGCTCAGATGTCCCAGGGGACAACTTCCATGGCTGTCACTGGGTTCCCACACGGTCAGTGAGGGGTCAAAGAACCCACTGCTGTGAAGAGTGCCACTGAAGGGACACTTTTGCATGGTAAGACACCTTTGTGCAGCTGCTGCAGAAGGTTATCTGAACCTCTTGATACCCCATGGGAACCTTGTGAGAAACTTCTCCGTGTTTTTGGACACAAATCCTGCATTTAACTCAGTGGTGCTGCTCAGGGACTCTGGGACATCAGGGATGTGCTGCCAGCACTGGGGACTGACTCCAAGGGGAGCTTTGCTGACAGGTGGGCTGCAGAAAGGGCTACTCAGTATAGGAATGTGACACCAAACAAAAAGCATCTGCTTTATCTATGCTCAGCCTGGTGCTGGTTTTGACCCATCAGCGAAGAAAATGGAGAGCTGGATGCTGAGTGTTGTTAAAATACTCTTCTGGGTCAAACTCCAAGGCCACCAACACAACCTAAATTCTCCTCCAGTCTTTCCCTGACCTCCCCACTTTCAAGTCATAATTGTATCACCTTTCCTGCACAGCAAATTAAAAGTACATAAAAATTATTATCTTTGCCAAAAGTTATCTGTATTTTTTAATGCACATTGAAGATACTATAAAAATGTGCAAGGCTTGTAAAGAGTGGAACACTGAAATCGCAAGCAGGATCTCCACTGAAAATTGATACCAAGAATTTGCTGCCTTTTAAAAATTTTCAACATAATGCTACCACCTCTATTTTTTTTTTTTTTTTTTTTTTTTTTTTTTTTGCTTTACATAAAAATACCACTGCAGAAAGTCAGATCCCCTCTACCCCCTCAGAGGTGGCAAAATGTAAATGTTCAGAGACGTCTGGATCAGTATTTTAAATGTCACCAAATCCAAACCTCAGCATTACAGGAGTTATTAGCTAAATCCATGTTCTGTACATGCCAAAACATTTGCTCTCTCATCAACCATTCTTTTCTATTTTGCTTTTAATTTTCTAAGTTCTGAACTCACAGATGGCTTCAATAAGTTTAGCTTACAGAGTAAGCAATACAGGAGAAAAAGTACAGCAATGAAGAATGTTTTTAACAAGTCACACTTAAGGAGATCTAACTTTTATAGGAATGCAGTAAATCCCTCTTACCTGTCACATTCACATACTCACAGATAATCATGGCAATCTGAGCTTATTTGAATAAACTGAAAAGATAAAACTGATAACTTAAATCACTAAAGCATATTCACTTTTGCTTTTACTAATTTAAAACAAGTAATTTGCAGACAAGATGTCTTCATTTATGGATGGATTGAATAAGGAGCAGAGAATCTGACCACACAGAGGAGAAACTAAATTCACCTCATACATCCTCTCATGAGAGGGGGGATCAAGAAGAACTATGAACAACAAAAATACATGGATTTATTGGAAACCTGCTCATTGTGATGATTCCATTAAAATGGAATACCAATAAACATGGCAGTGATGGTCTCTAATGAACCTGTGATAGCAGATTAGAGGTCTGGGTGTGAAATTTTAGCCCAAGTGACAAATGCTAGACTGAATATTTTGTGTTTTCACAGCTCCAAGCAGTTTCTCCCCTCACTTTCAGCGAATACAAGGGTAACATTTGAAGCAGTCACTTGCTTATACTGCATGCCAGTGACCTGGAGATATCCTCCTGGGAGGGGTGATAAGGTTATAGCTCTGCATTTCTGCTCTCCTCTTTCAATTAAGGCTTTTAATGCCACCAAAATATGTTTTACATAAATGCAAATCAGGGATTTGTTACTGAGCTGCATTTGGTATTTATAAACTTCTTAGAGAGTAGGCAGTGAGTCTCGTGGTTTATTGCTGCTTTAAGCCCATTGTAATCTACAAAATATGATCAATTATTGTGGCAGTATTTAAAGCAAAATCCATTTTTCTTTGTCAACCACTTTATGTGATATGAGATGTTAGACACACAGACTGAGTCATCTTCTCATTAGCCCAGCCAAGCGTATACATCTTTCCCCATCCACTCCTTGAATTTATGTTATGAAAAGATACATATTTTGAAGCAAACCATTTTCTCTGCATGTTAAAAACAAAACTAAATTGGAGACTGAGGAGAAAGGGAACAGCTGAAAGTAATCTGAATCCCAGAATACATTTAAAGGAAAGAACAATGTATACTTCTATTGGAGATAAGCCATATTGAGCTTATCAAAAAGACAGTCCTTGGATGCCACAGTTTGCATGTGGCTTAAAGATAAAGAAACAATGCTGCTTTCTTCCACTCTCTAATCCTTCAAATGTTCAGCTGTAAAATACCACATAATTTAAGTATGGATTTATGATCAGAAATCAGGTACATTTATTTTTTACAGCTAATTACATTCAGAGTGATTAAGAAATCAGTATATTCTAGAGCTTTTGGGAAATAAGAACTGAAGTTCTAGGACTATTTCTACAGTGCTGCTCACTGGGCTCATGCTCAGGATTACTGTACCAAACACAGCTTTGCTAAACGTTACCCAGAGAGTTCTGCTGTATTCTGTTTATTCAAAATGAATATAGTTTTAATGTCATTAACTGCAAGGAATTGAGATAACAAAT